CATTACCACTGTTGGCATGCAAAGTGTTGTTTTTCAGAACCGTTGTGTATCTTTTTCCACCCAGGTTCAGTCCACTGCTCATAACTGGCCTCCACCAGCTGTGATTCACCTTCATCTACTTCTCTTTTCTCAAAAACAAATCATTTTAATGGCTGATAAAAATGCAAGAATCTCACATCTGATCAAAATACAAGAAATAAAATCCCATTTTAACATCTAAACCATCAGAATTACACAAATTGTCAACGCCTTGAATTTAAAACAGATTATATTATTTTGAATAGTCCTCAGTCTCAGTACCAAACCCCTCCTCTTCAAAAATGAGTTATTCACATACAGCTCTTCTGTCACATGATTTTCCTTTGCAGCGTTTCCTCCAACCAAACCAGGGCATTAAGGCCACCCCACACACACACACACACACCGTGGAAAGTGAAGGCTGCAGCCTCAACACAAAAATTACAAGCCACAGTCAAACATTTCTTTAAATCTGCCAGGACATTTAACAAAAGCTGAGAAACGAGGTTTTCCACAGCTGGTCCAGTGAGAAACAGTAGGAAAACTTTACTCTGTGCTACTTTGTGTTGTATTAAACATTTCCAGAGTCAGTGTCTCTTCTGCCCCCCTATCAAAGGTGTAGTCTCTGTGGGAAGAAACATGATTTGTGTCAGCAAACTCAGCTCAGCAGCCTGATCCATGTGAACACAGACCTGTGTCGGTACAGAGCTGTCAAACTTCTCCCACAGCTGGATGTACTGCTGCAGCAGCAGAACCACAGCTCTGTACTTACACTCAGATCTGAGGTATTTGTACTTCAGTATTTCCATTTCATACTTGGACTTCACTACATTAGAGACGAGTCTTGTACTTTTTACTGCACTACGTGTATTTGATACTTTGGTTCCTTTTCAGAATCAGATGATTAAAATAAACAGTAATGAACCAAAACAGGTTAAGCTGTGACTCTACTGGTCCCCAGGGAGAAGTTCAGTCTACACAGCAGTGTGTACTACTGAGTACTACAGTTAGCTCGGCCTTCAACAGCCGCCACGTTAATGCATCAATAATTACAACAGGGTGATGTAACAGACTTTATGAAACGTGCCACTGCATAATGACCACTTTCACCTTTGGTACAGTTCTTCAAGTATGTAGCTGGACTTTGACTGAAGTCAGATTTTAAATGCAGGACTTTTACCAGAGTATTTTACACTGAGGTATTACAGTGGTGGTACTTATGTAAGAGACCTGAGTGCTTTGTCCCCCACTACCCAGACCTACAGCCCAGTCACAACATCATCCCAGTCACCGTGATCATGAAATAAAGCAAAACCTGTGACAGTGTAAGAGAAAGTAACAGGTCAAGTTTACCTGAGTCCATGTTCTCCATCTCCAATGAAGCAGTTTTATCCGATGGGCCATGGTTCTATGTTCAGAGAGAAAACAGTTGAAATGACAAAGTGTCCAGCTGATGCTGTTCTTACAGAATCCATTCACTCCTGTTTTTCTAGCTCACTCCGTCCGTGGGTTCTGCTCCTGCCCACCAGGGAACAAACCTGGGTTTGTGTTGACAGGAAGTCTAAATGGAACTGATCTGACTCTGGTGGAGCTTCACAACATAGGATCTGTAACTCAGTCTGGGCTCTTGTCCACAATTTAAGAAGTGGTTAATAAAGATAATGATGCTGAGCAGATGTTGGAGTGAGCGAGCTGCCACCTCAGGACAGAAACAAATCACTCTGGTACCTGCAACATCTGGCAGCCTGCTAACACACAGCGCTCTTTAAAACCTGCTGAGGTCTGTAAAGATTCCCAGAGTTTAACACTAAACTGAAAAGAGTTGATTCTTTACCTGACCGCCTGATCCTGGATCAGATGTTGCTCCTGTTCTTAAATTGTTTATCAGTATTTCAGCAGCATCAAAACATTCTGCCCACTGGCTTTCTTTTATTTTTTGCTCGATTTCTGCAGTCAACTTTTCTTTTGCCGTCTTTCTAAATGTTTCTTCCAGTGATTTTTCCTCCTCTTCCAAAATCAGGTTGTAATAAAAATCTTTTCCATCACAGCAACTTGAAGTTTTTCCACAGCACTTCCTGCATCTAAACTTTGACACAATGAATGTCAGACAAACGATACCCAAGACCAAACTGGAGCCAATAACCTGAAAACAAAACATCGAAACGATTACACTGCTTCACCTTCACTGTGTCATTTCCTAAACTTCATTCACATAATGTGCACAAGGAAAGAAAAACTCACCCTGGACCAGCTTTTCAGTTCAGCAATAGATATTCTTTCTTCTTCTGTCAGCTTGGTTTTGTCTTTGCAGGCTAAATGTGCCGTTTGTTCTGTCTGACTGCTCTCACAGCAGACGTACCAGTCTCCATCCAGTAACACAAAAACAACCCACAGCGCACCAATACAAAAGGCCTCGACAAAGTGAAGGAAGGAAAAACAGCACAAGCTGCTGCAACAGTTGCACTGAGTTCTATAGTCTGAACAGCGGGATCCGCAAAGTGATGTGCACCAGTATCTACACAGTCTCCCTAACGGCTTGTCTGTCCAGACAACCAAGACAAATATGACAAAAACTGGCAGAGCCATGTATAAACCGCACTCCCCTTCTTGTGGTTTGCAAGTGCATGCAAAGTCCCTGTCAAGCAAAATGCTGTAGGTAAACATCAAGATGACTGAACCGCAGATGCTGAGGTTCCGAAGAACAAATTCTCTTGTTAGTATGTTCTTCATCATTGATGTGCAGTTGGCGTCTGCCAGCCTTCATCTACAACTGCTGAATAAATACTGGAATTTCCTGTTTTCCCTGCCAGTTGTGTGTCTGTAGGTATGACTTGGCTGTACTTGAAACTGAAAGTACCTTAGTTGTTGGGTTTGGTGTTGTCTCTTCACCACTGGTCACACAGGGCACAGCTCTGATCCAGTCAGCAGCAAAACATATCAGTGGTCCATATGATTAACATGAAACTAGATTTAAGGTTTGGATAAAATACGACCAGTTCTGAGGCTGTGGTATCAAGGGTGTCAGGGACAGTGGGTGTGGCACAGTGGAGCAGTGGTTCACACTATGGCCTCACAGCAAGAAGGTTCTGGGTGTGAACCTGGCCTCTCTGTGTGAAGTCTGCATGTTCTCGTTGTGCCTGCACTGACTTCCTGCCACAGTCCAAAGACATGCAGGTTAGGTCGGCTGGTGGGTCTAAATCTGTAGGTGTGAGTCGTCGTCTGTGTGTGTCAACCCTATGTTAGACTGTCCATGAAGAGACGCTCAGACAAAGAGTGAATTTAATGGTTTTATTAAGTGAAGGGGCAGCGACCTCTTGTGGCCTCTGTGTGGACCAGCAGCCGTCACCATGGAAGATGAACCTTTTCCATTTCTCTAACCAACAGCCCACAGACAGAAGAAAAACTGTAAAGTCAGCAGACAGTCGCTACTGACTGGACCGACTGACACTTAATGTAGATGCAGTGGTGGAAACAAGAGAGAACATCAGATATCACACAGTATTTATATGTAGCTGTTTTTGTAAATACTGGGAACCTTTAACAATGTGAAGTGAAACTGTGGACACAGTGTCAAACTCTGTCCCACAGCTGCTGCTCATATTAAAGCTGAGACCTGGGACTGTCCAGGTTCCTACAGTCTGGACTGAGTCTCTCCTACGGTGAATGGACTTATACTTGTACAAAGCTTTTCCATTAATTGCACCACACTCAATACTTTCACACTCTGCCCATTCACACACTGGTGTCACCAGGAGCAACTGGGGTTCAGGGTCTTGCTCAAGGAGACGACCCGCTCTACGTCCTGAGCCACAGCCGTCCTATAGATACCTTTTTATGATCAGGATTTAATTCACAGTGTTTGATGCCTGTTTTATTATCTTAACTACTGCAGTGCCAGAAATGTCCCGACAGGTCGGGTTTCTACAGACCAGCTACAGAACAAGTACGAGGCATGACCACATCACACACGGCAAATAAGGTCTCGTATTCAGTTAAGTCTCTGTCTTTGTACTGTTGTTTCACACGTGGGTAAATTCAGCCTTTAACAGAAACAGTGAACCCTCATTTGAACCAAAGCTCCTTAAAAACAGTTTATTTTAAGCAGCATGTCCTGGTGTTATCAGAACACTAATACAAACATAAACTCGTTTTCTTAACCTTGAAGAGCCCATGGTGCTTTTCCTTGTTTTCTGACTTATCTGCAATGTTACAACGGTAAATTATCAGCTTAGACATGACCTAAAGCTCAAAACATGAGGTGAATGTATGTTTTAGTAACTCGGTTTTTACACATATTGCAAACCCTTGCTCACGAGACTTTTTTTCTAACAAAATAAAAGTATTACGTGATAGTTCAAGAATTTTCTTGAATAGGCATAAAATGCAGGGTGTTGCCATTCATGTGAGCTTGCCTGACATCCACTGGTGCCACCACCATATATGAAAAAGCTACATTGCCTTGTTTGTTATGTATGTTTTCAATAAAGCTTATTTAAAAAATAAAAAAAAAAGACATCCACTGGTGCAATTGTGCCGAGCGGAATTTTTCAACTTTGTGGATATACAGTATTTTCCCTCCTGCTGCTGCAGTGTGACCAGAGGATGTGGAGGAAAACACAGGGCCTGAGGTTACTGCATGTCCAGGAATGTTCCTGTACAGGGACTCGCTGTTTTACCTGACCGGGTCTAACCCATAAGCAGTTGGCCAGTGAAGCCCCTGTGGCAGTGAATGATCAGCCGGAGCACTGCAGGCCCCAGACTGCCAGGATTATTGCAATGAATAATCAGGAGAACATAGTGTGGATACAGCATCCACACAATAATCACCAGGTGGAAACAGTGAGTAGCGATTATGCCCTGGGGTAAAGCTTGGGCAGGTGAGTGATACAAAACCAGGAAATCAAACCAAAATAAAAGCACAAAACAGGAAGTGAGTCCCAACCATAACAGAGGAAGAAAGAGCACAAAGGAGTTGATTCTTTACCGCAACGAGTTCTCGTCCTGGTGCTATTAATTTGTTTATCAGTTTGTCAGCAGCATCAAAACATTCTTTCCAGTGTTTTCCTTTTTTGACTTCTGCAGTCAACTTTTCTTTTGCCGTCTTTTTAAATTCTTCTTCCAGTACATTTTCCTCCTCTTCCAAAATCAGTTTGTAATAAAAATCTTTTCCATCACAGCAACGTGAAGATTTTCCACAGCACTTCCTGGATCTAAACTTTAACACAATGAATGTCGGACAAACGATAACAAGGAGCACCCAGGAGCCAATAACCTGAAAACAAAACATCACAATGATTACACTGCTTCACCTTCACTGTGTCATTTCCTAAACTTTATTTACATAATGTGCACAAGGAAAGAAAAACTCACCCTGGACGTGTTTTTCAGTTCAGCAATAGATAGTCTTTCATCTTCTGTCAGGATGGTTTTGTCTTTGCAGGCTAAATGTGCCGTTTGTTGTTCCTGACTGCTCTTACAGCAGGCGGACCAGTCTCCATCCAGTAACACAAAAACAACCCACAGCAAACCAATACAAACTGCCTTGACAC